GTGGAGTGAACATTCCTTTCAAAATAGAAGTTTAGATGTGGGGCTGAACAGATGGCTCAGTGGTTAAAAGCACGTGCTGCTCTTCCAGGGGACCAGAGCATTCACGGCAGCTAGCTCACAACCATTTGTAACTCCAGCTTCAGGGAGCTCAGCTGCCCCCCCCCCCCGGCCTCTGTGAGCACTTGCGCTCACATCTACACACACACACACACACACACACACACACACACACACACACGAAGAAAGTGGAGTTGAGCAGACATAGTAAGTACACAATACACATCGACAATGCCACCTACAGCTGAGATCATGCAAAGAAGCTGTACGGAAGCCCCCCTGAGAAAATCGGCAGCAAGGTGTGCCGATATGCTGAGACACGCTGGCTTCCCATCTGGGCTATGGGCAGGGGAGAGCAGTGAGACCCAGCTGTTTCCAAAGAGCCCAAGAGTGGGGATCCCAGCCGCTCACAGAAAGACTTTAATGGCTTGCCTTTTGTGAGATTTGCTGTCAAATCCCACAGAAGGCAAAGGCTATTCATTACCTTCACACCGTGTTTGCTGTTAAACATTTATAGACTTGGGGAGAAGGGGGAGGGGAGGAAACTGCCACCAAGATGGATGAAACCAGTATAATAAACACTGCAATAGTAGGCTCAGTGGGGCAGGTCGCTCCTCAGAGCTCCTGGGCAGTGTGTGTGTGTGGGGGGCGTGTGTGTGTGTGTGTGGTGTGTGGGGCGTGTGTGTGTGTGTGTGTGGTGTGTGTGTGTGTGTGGTGTGTGTGTGTGGTGTGTGGGGCGTGTGTGTGTGTGTGTGTGTGGTGTGTGTGTGTGGTGTGTGTGTGTGTGGTGTGTGTGTGTGTGGTGTGTGTGTGTGGTGTGTGTGTAGTGTGTGTGTATGTATATGTGTGTGTGTGTGTGTGTGTGTGTGTGTGTATGTGTGTGTGTGTGGTGTGTGTGTGTGTGTGGTGTGTGTATGTGTGTGTGTGTGGTGTGTGTGTGTGGTGTGTGTGTGTGTGTGTATGTGTGTGTGTGTGTGGTGTGTGTGTGTTTGAGTTGTCTTCTTGAGACAAGGTCCTATTCTGTAGACCAGGCTGTCTCTGAGCTCACAGCATTTCTCCTGCCTCAGTCTCCCGAGTGCTGAGATTGTGGGCACTACCACACCCCATGAGAGAGGTGTGTCCACACTGGCTCTAGTTACAAATTGTTCACAACATCCTGAGCCATGGTTTGAGGCAGAGAGTTCTAATATGGACGGAATTTCTGTGCAGGGCTGGATTCTTGGTTTGGTCTGTTTGTAGGGAATGGGTTCTCAGATAATCATTGAACATGGATTTGATGCTGATTGGCCCATAGATTAGACATCTGTGCTGTGCGCTATGTGCCAGGAAGAAGGTAGGTAGTTAGGGGTGTGTGTGTGTGTGTGTGTGCGCACAGTATCAGCTCAAGTTCAGATGCACCTTCACCCTGGCTGTGCATCATATAAACTCCAGCCCTGCAGACCTGAGCTGGAAAAATCAAAGCCTCGAAGATGACGTGCTTTCCTGAGGCTCTAAGTGAGGCTGTGGGGGCCTGGAGTGGGTGGGGACTTTTCTTCCGCCACTAGCCAGTTAGTGGCGGAGCAGGGCTAGGTTCTGTTTCCCTCCCTGTCAGCAGAGTTTCATCGTCACATGTTATGTTCCATGTCACCCCCACCTCCCGCCACCTGCTCCACAGAAGCTAATTATGTTTGGGAAATTTAAGTTTGTTTTCTCTGAATAATACAGAAATCACAAAGTTTCCTTTTTACTGGGCTGGGAGATGGCTCACTGGTTAAGCGTGAGGACCTGAGTTTGGAACCTAGCACCCACATGAAAGACTTGGGCACGCTGCACGCCCCTGCAACCCCAGTGGTGCTTGGTGGCCAGCAGCTGAGTTCGAAGTTCAGTGAGATGCCCTGCCTCAAAGGGGGCAAGGTGGTGACAGAGAAGGGACACCTGATGTCTCCCTCTGGCCTCTGCATGAGCGTAGGTGTGCACACATACACATGTGTGCAAGCCCCCCACAGATGTGCCCCTCCTTCTTACACAAGCCACCCTGTGTTCATCTTGTCCTTTCTTCAACACTGGGTCTCAGTGGTCACTGCTGCACGGCACAGAAGGACTTTTTCTGGTCACTGTTGCAATGGACCAGAGCCTCCCCTAGCCCCAGAGCTGCAGACACTACCCAACCGCTTACACCTTCCTCACCAGATGCGAGTGTCCACATAGGATGCGATTCTGAGAATGATGTTAAGGGCCCTGGGACACATTTGGGATTTTGATGGATGCTTCCTACCCAGTGACTGCCAATTCCCAGGTGGCTTTTACGGGGAGGTGTCCCTTTACTGGGGAATGCTGGCATTCCTCTCTGTTGAGGGCCCACCATGTACCAGCTCCCATTCAGGTGGCAGCGGCTCAGTGTGCCTCAGGAGAGTCCTCATGGCACCTCTGGTTAGGAGAGAGGCACCTGCTGGTCAGTAGCTGGTGCTACAGTTTCTTCACTAGAATTGGGAGACATCCGGGCTTAGGGTGGGCGCCCCTGGGAAGATAAGCTGTGGGAGCACAGAGTCAGTGGCAGAGCCTGTGAGCACGAATGAGCTTCAGTCCCACAGAGATGAGTGAATGGAGCTGTTGAGACAGAGGGAGCAGCAACTGCGTAGTCCTGAGGCCAGAAGGAAGTGTGTGCTTCCCCCAAACCCCATTTTACCTGCAGCCCCAAGAGGGGAGAGGCTGAGTGAGGGTGGACAGACAGACCCTGGCCATGCTGGCCCAAGTCCTCATGTTAAGAGCAGTGGGCAGCCCTTTGGGAGCACCCACTCATCTGGGATGGGAGCACTCATCTGGGATGGGAGGAGCATCTGGGCATTTTGAGGTCAGTTCAGCCAAGCCGTGAGTACACTTTCATTATTGTGGCTCAGAAAAAAGGGACAGAAAGGTCAAGGATCACCACGATGTCTACCCTAGCTCCCCAAAACAGGAGACCCCATTCCTGGCTTACAGGACCCTGGACATGATTCATTTATTAATTCTCCCAGTCACTCCACAAACGTTGTGGAGGCCCGTAAGTGCCAGGTACTGTGGCGAAAACAATACTAACCCACAGAGCATGTGGACCCGACCTCGGCAGAGCTTACAGTGGAGAGTAGAAGTACCAACTTCCATAAAGGGCCAGAGAGTGAAGATTTGAAGACAGACCCTGCCAAAACTCTCAGCTCTCCTGTTCCCGCAAGGAAGCAAGCCCTAGGCCCTATGCGAACAGACATGGTTGCGTTATCAGCAGACAGAATGTGGGTCCTTGGGGGCGTGTTTTGCTTGACCCTGGTTTATCAGGACAAGTTCACTGAACACATATGTATCAGAAAGGGCGGGAGATGGTAGTGGGTGTGAAGGAGAAGGGGCGGGAGGGGGATTGCAGGTGATTTTTTGGGGGCAGTCTGCGGAGGCGCTGCCAGAGCAGATACGTGGACTAAGGGAGAAGAGGCAGCGCTCAAAGACTCTGAGCAGGATGTGCCGAGGAGAGGTCAGCGGGGCTGTCTGGGGGCATTGGGCACAGGTGGAGTGGTGAGATGGGAGGGTGACAGGGACAGACTGGGCCCATGATGACCTCAGGACCAATATAAAGGACCAGAGGAAGCACTGACAGACGGGTTGTAGAGTGGGCATTGGACAGAGGGGACTTGGGGGTTTGGCTGAAGATGGACATGCACAGGGCACACTGAGGCTGGTCTGTGTGCCGAGAGGTCAGGATGTGTGTTGGCTGGGATAGGAGGTGTAAGGATCAGGCATGGAGATCAAGGGACAGAGTGAGGTGACTGAACAACGTGATCTGCTGGAGTGACAGGTCCTTGAGATGGGACAGCAGAAACCCAAGATGGCTGCTGCTGTTAAAGAGTGTTTAGGTCACCTGTACCCCCTCCTACTAACATTTGGGGGGCGCTGTAGCCATGATCCTGACTTTTGGGGATTGAGGGATCCTCTGAGAGGGTTCTGAGTCTGTTAATTCCACATATTTGGGGATTCTTGTCCCCTCTTGGGGCCACATCTGTAAAGGGCCGTGAAGGAGCAGGGAACCCTTGCTCTAGAAAGCCTCTCATACTTGGGTGTGGACACCTCAGACAAACATAGTCCCCATAGATCCTAGAGTCCATGTTGTCTTGCTCTGTGTCCTGTGTCCGCATCATACATGTTCATACATGTGAAGTGATGAGGCCAGCTGCCGCCCTGGAGAGAGCAAACTGTAGTAATGGGGTTGTAATCCACACTCACATGAAATAATACCTCAGTTGGGAGGGAGGCTCAGAGCGTAGGAGAGTGAGCTGGAGTGCTCTCTGTTCAGCTGTGGGTCTGGTACCGTGAGCTATGGGAGATACCAAGTTCACTTTAACAGCTTTCACGGTGTCTGTGTGCATAGACACAGTCATGCAGGTGTGCCTATACATATTCATGCATGCGTACAGAGGCCAGATATCGATCCCTTCCTCAAATGCTCTCCCCTTATTGCTTATGACAGGGTCTCTCCCTGAACCTGTAATTAGTTGATTTGGCTACACTACTAGGCCAATGAGCTCCTGGGATCCCTTCTCAGCCTCCCAAGTACTGTCATACCTGACTCTTATGTAGGCTCTGGGGATCAAACTTGGCTTCTCATAGTCGCATGGCAGGCAATTTACGGAAAACCATCTCTCCAGCCTCTAAAATGCACTTCTGAGGGGGTGGTTTGAAGTCTCAGCTCGGAGGCTACTAGGCCAGCCTGCCTTCCATACTGCAGCCAGCTACACGGCTGGTGTAGCCAACATTTGTCTTCTGGACTCTAGAGGGAATCTGGGACAAAGGAGCCTTCATTTTACTTGTGGCAAGCTCAGGGTTTGGCACAGCAGGGTATTAAGACCAATCAGTGACAGGATAACCACGTCCACCCATGACTGACTCTGCACCCCAGTTCTACTTTAGAGGCTTAAAGACCCCCTCCCCCCTTCTCTTTCCAGAAGAACCGAACGCACATAAGGCCATCAGCTCACCCTCCGGACTCGCATACCCGGATGATGTCCCGGACTATGGCCTCAAGCCAATCAACCCCCTCGCCAGTCTCTCTGGCGAGCCCCCAGGCCGGTTCGGAGAGCCGGATAGGATAGGGTTCCAGAACTTTCTGAGTCCGGCCAAGCCAGCAGGGGCTTCGGGCCCGAGCCCTCGGATCGAGATCACTCCATCCCACGAACTGATGCAGGCAGGGGGGGCCCTCCGTGGGAGAGATGCCGGCCTGCCCCCGGAGCAGCCGGCCCTGGCCCTGGCCGGCGTGGCCGCCAGTCCGAGGTTCACCCTGCCCGTGCCCGGCTTCGAGGGTTACCGCGAGCCGCTTTGCTTGAGCCCTGCTAGCAGCGGTTCCTCTGCCAGCTTCATTTCTGACACCTTCTCCCCCTACACCTCGCCCTGCGTCTCGCCCAATAACGCCGGGCCCGACGACCTGTGTCCCCAGTTTCAAAACATCCCTGCTCATTATTCCCCCAGAACCTCTCCAATAATGTCACCTCGAACCAGCCTCGCCGAGGACAGCTGCCTGGGCCGACACTCGCCCGTGCCCCGTCCTGCATCCCGCTCCTCCTCACCCGGTGCCAAGCGGAGGCATTCGTGCGCAGAGGCCTTGGTTGCCCCTCTGCCCGCAGCCTCACCCCAGCGCTCCCGGAGCCCCTCGCCACAGCCCTCGCCTCACGTGGCACCCCAGGACGACGGCATCCCCGCTGGGTACCCCCCCACGGCTGGCTCTGCTGTTCTCATGGATGCCCTCAACAGCCTGGCCACCGACTCGCCCTGCGGGATCCCCTCCAAGATATGGAAGACCAGTCCTGACCCGACTCCAGTGTCCACTGCCCCGTCCAAAGCGGGCCTGGCCCGCCACATCTACCCTGCTGTGGAGTTCCTGGGGCCTTGTGAGCAGGAGGAGAGGAGGAATTCTGCTCCCGAGTCCATCCTGCTGGTACCACCCACCTGGCCCAAGCAGCTGGTGCCGGCCATTCCCATCTGCAGGTGAGTGGGGCTTTGAGAGCTGTGTGCGCACGCCCCAGTGCGCGCTAAGAGCCGGCTTTTTTTTTATTTACACGGAAGAAGAGCTGTGTGGAGGCACCTGTGAGCTGTGCTCGGTGATAAGGAGCCCCAAAGAACAACCACCAGCACAGGGCTCCATTCTCAAACAGCTCAAGAGCCTGGAAGGTGGAAGCAGAGTTTGGCCCACGGGGTCGAGGCTTTGGGGTGTGTGCAGACTGAGTGTGTCCTGGCTCTGCTGTTGGTTGCCTGTGTGAGTGTGGGCACTGTGCTGACCTCCTGTTGCTGTGCCAGTGACAGACATGGATAAACAATTACGATTCTCTCATGGAGCACAGGCTTTCAAAGGCTGGCCGGTACAAATGCCTAAATGCCAGCATTCTTCCCTTTTTATGTATCGCTGGGGTTCTGACAGGATACGTCCTCAGCTGCTGCCACTAAGAGCACCATCTGTGCATATTCACTATGTTCTCTTCTAAAAGGGCCCTGCCCACTTCCCATCCCCCTTCTTCTCTCCTCCCCTCTCTCTCTCCCTCCCTCCCCCTCCCTCCCTCCTCTCTGTCTCTCTCTCTCATCTTGATAAAGCATTGGGTTGAATCGAGCAGGTGAAGCCTGGATGAGCCTGTCAGAACCTCACAGGCTGAGCTGAGCGGGAAAGAATACACTTGATGGATGGATGGGCTCTGCCATAAGTGTAAATCAGGATGTGTCATAGGGACCAAGCATGTGCATTTTAGAGAACCTTTGAATGAGTCAGTCTTTGAAATAAATTTCTTGTCTGCCTATCCACCCACCTATTCATCCATCCATCTACCTGCCCATCTCTCCATCTATCTACCCACCCATCTCTCCAACCATCCATTCATGCATGCATGCATCCATTCATTTATCCACCAGCCTATCTATCCATCCATCCACCTATCTCTCCATCCATTCATCCATCTACCCACCTATCTCTCTATCCATTCATCTATCTATATCACCCACCCATGTATCTATCTTGTCTAACCATCCACCTTCTCTCCCATCCACCCATTAAATATTTTCTGAGATCCTACCCAATGTTAGAGCTGCTCTAAGTCACTCCGTGGTGAGACTTGTCTCAGGCCCATTTAAAAATAAGTTGGTAAGACAGGAGCCGTGTGGAGATGAGAGCGGGTCTTAGACTTGGAGTCAAGGGGCTAGAGCTGGAGCCTGGCCTCTGTCTCACCCTGTGATCTTAGGTAACATTTTATATTTTCTGAGGAACAGAAGGATGATTCTGGGCAGATTTTCAAGACCTGGGCAGATATGTCAAGAATGGCATAATTCTAAGCCACGTTGTGTAGCTGTTGTATATATTGGGCAGTGTTGAGACTCCAGGAAAATGAAACTTAAAACCTGCCCTCAAAATGTGGTCTCAGCACCTGATACCATAGCCAAATCGGAGAATCCATAGAAAATGATGTGTCTGTCTGTGTGTGTGTGGGTGGGGGTAAGTGTATGTGCATATGTATGTATGACACATGTGTGCGTATGTTTATATATGTGTGTGCATGAACGTGTGTGTGGTGTGTATATGTATAAGTGTGTGCACGTGTACATATGTTGTGTATTTATGTATGTGGTGTGTATAGTGTGTCCATGTACATGTGGTATGTATATGTGTGTGTATACGTATGTCCATTTACATGCATGTGTAGTGGTACGTGTATATGTACATGTGTAATGTATATATATGTGTGTGGTATGTGTCTGTATATGTGTGTGGTATGTGTACATGTACACATGTGTATATGCATGTGTGTATGTACATATGCATGTGTGTACATGCATGTATATGTAAGTATGTGGTGTGTATATGTGTGTGCCTGTACATGTATATGCATTTTCCAAGTAAAACCGTTAGTGCTAATGTTTATTGACTACTCTCATGCTAAGATCCTCATAGAATTTCAGTATGCCTACTTCACAATCGAGGAAACTGAGGTCTAAGGAGTTACAGGTATCTGCTCAAAGTCACAGGGGAGTAGGTGTTAGGGCTGCTTGAACTTTGGTATGGAACTCTAGTCATGATATTGATTGTCCCTTTATACTTTACATTGGGGTCATATGGTTTGCTTCACTCATACTCAGGCTAGATTCCTCTCTGTGCTTCTAGGATCCATGCCCAGTGGCCCATCAATCAGGAATTGTGAGTGGACCTGAACTCACTTCCAAACGCACTGCTAATTAAGAGAATCACATATAGAAACTCTCTCACTTGTCCCCTGGTCTCTTTGCTATGTGACTGTAGCAGACTGTGCCTAAGAGAGGTGAAGTACTTAAGTCCACAGTGAAGTAGTGACATGATCCGGGTTGCCACTGAAGCATTCCTGCACTCACATTTGTCCTCTGGAAAAGGAAGTGTTCTGCTAGAGGATGTTTTGAGAGATTGATGCTATGTTCTTCACAATTTCTAGAGGAGAAGCCATAAATAGCCATTGGAAACATGTAGGAACCAACACATAATGAAATTAGCTTCATTGCCCATGAATCCAGCCACACTGCCTTATCAGGATGAAAGTGAAAGCAAGGGGGAGGTCTGCTCCCTCATGAAGAACTCCCCCATCATGTCTAAGCAATTTGTGGCCCTCAGCACTCAGCATTTTATTCCTCCACCCCTAGAAAAGGGACCATTTGCATTTTAGTGTACAGATGGACTGATTTGGTTTTATGTCCTCATGACCCGGTCTTTTCTTCGTACAGCATCCCTGTGACTGCATCCCTCCCTCCACTAGAGTGGCCACTGTCCAGTCAGTCAGGCTCCTATGAGCTGCGGATCGAGGTCCAGCCCAAGCCTCATCACCGGGCCCACTATGAGACGGAGGGCAGCCGTGGTGCGGTCAAGGCCCCAACAGGAGGCCACCCTGTGGTGCAGGTATGGACCCAAATTCTCTTATTTCTGTGCCCTACACTGGTCACTAGGAGATTCACTCTGCCTTGCTGTTGCCTGTGTCCAAGGACATCTCATCTCTTTACTCCTTGAAAGGAGAGAAACCTGAGATGATGTGATGAGTGTCAAGAGCCTCCTGGAGAATTAGAGTCTGGGGGAAGTCTCCAGAGCAGGGCGAGGAAACATGGTGTCATGTGGAAGATGGTCCTTTTCTTTATGATGGAGAGATTGCTAGGACTCAGCAGCGCTGTTAGAACAGCGTTTCTGCTTGCTTTTTTCCTCATCAACATTCTTTATAACAGTGTCTTGGAGGTAAACCAGAGATTTGTTCAAGGACAGACGTGCGATTTTTCTCCCCTCCAAAATAGGTGATTTGAAACATCCTTCAAATTATATCATCTGGTTAACGCAGAAGTTCTACGGATTCTGGCTGGTGAAGCCACACAGTTCAGTTAACCAGAATCTTCTGAACATTTAAGTTATTGTAACTACAGGGGCCTGGACATGGTGTTCATAAGCACCCTTGGGGGTGGGGATTCTTAAAAATGCAGATTTTGCCAGGTTTGGTGGTTCAGGAGACAGAGGCAGGTGGATCTCTGAATTCCAGGCTGGCCAAGGCTACCCTGCATTAAAAACAACCACAAAAAACAAAAACAAAAACAAACAAACAAAAAACAAAACAAAGACACTTCCTTAGAAAGTATGAAACAGGAGTAGAGACAAGATGAACAGAACCCCCAAACGCTAACATTTTCCCAAAGTTCAATGGGTGTGTTCCCTTAGTTCAGAACTCCCCGAATATGATCAAAGCACTCGATACACAGGCGTGACAGAGCCATAATTAAGCTATTGTTCTGTACAATTAATGTATTATGTGCCAAAAGAAAGGAAAAACAAAAGGAAAGAAAAAATCCCAGCACAGCCTGTGCTCTGACCTGGCTGCCATGGAGCCAGTTTGTTTCTGTCCCCAGACCCTGACCTCACCTCCCGGTTTCTTTACATCTTGTTACTTCTGCTCTGATGTGATGCAGACATGCAGACTAGTGCACACTGGGTTTTTTTTTCTTTTCCTCTAAAGGTGGTCAGCCCAAGTAGGGGCTGAGCATGTGTTGCGATTGCATAGCTGGCTGGTTAGGGGCTGTCATCTGTGGGAAGCCTGTGTTGTTTCTCAATGCCTGGGGTCCACCCTGTTCGATCTGCTCCCAGTGGGTCTGGATGAGCACTGGCTTTGGGTAGGGAGCATTGAAGATGCTGACTTCAAGGCCTGACCTCTGGATGATTGATAGGTCACACTCCACCCTAAGCTGGGCTGCCCCTTAAGTCCCCAACTGTCCCAGTCACAGTCACCCTCTGTGCTTGCACAGCCCTTGGCCAAGGCCTTGAGGCTCCTGAGAGACAGCCTTCTGTCCTACATCCCTCCCATGGATTCCAGCTGCAGCAGACAGGGAGGCTGAAGTCTATCCCATCATCTTGGGGGGGGGCTCCACACTGTTTGATCTCTAGCCTCCCCTAGCCTGGAGGGGAAGCAAACATGTATTGGCCTGCTTCATGGGCAACCCTGCCCTGAGGTCCACAGTCTGCTTGCGATGTGCTGTCATCTCTCAGTCATTGCTCCTGTGACCTTTCATCTTGAGTCTCTGTGGTGGGAGGCTGCTCAGCTATTTCAATACACCTAAGACAACTTTATTATTATTATTATTATTATTATTATTATTATTATTATTCTGTTATTATTGACAAGGCTTAGCCGTTAGGGGAAAGGACCAAGGCTTGATGGTTGCTAGGAGACTGGGTCCTGATAGAGAACCTCACTGAAGGGAGATGAGGAGAAGGGACAGTCAGAGGCGGTTTCCAGGCACTGCAGAGGAGGACAGGAGGGTTGACTCCAGAGTGCCTGATGCCTGATGGGAAGCAAGGGGATTCACAGCTCAAGTGTTTGTGATGCTTACCCTGCATCCGTACCATCTGCTGGCTTTGGCTCTGAAAACAGGAAGTTGGGTGCTTCTTTTGTGAAGGGGAGATGTGTGTAAAATAGGAGTGAATGTGGACGAGGTCAATGGAGTTCTCTGGGGATGGGGCTGGGCTGAGGACACAGGGCACTGCGGCTCGGGGACAGCTTGTGCCCAGGAGGAAGGGCACTTGAGAGAATAGAAATGGGCTGGTAAACTGGAGCATGAGGGGCCGGGGCAGGGGAGGGCCAGGCTGTGGTGTGGGGGTGAGGGGCTGGGGTGGAGGGGGCAGGAAGGAGACTCAGGAGACTCAGGTTCTCACTGTCCATGTGGAGCGAGAGCTGAGAGGCAGAAGGGAGCTGGGAGACTCCATCGAAGGCTCTGTGCTTTCTGGCACCTGATCTCTGTTCACTCACTGGTCCCTTACTGCGCATTTATTGAGCACCTTCTGTGGACCAGGCAAGGTTCTGGGTTCCAATTGTGACAGAAACCCAACAGCCAAATTTTACAGTTAACACGACGACGGACATTGCAGAATCATTCACCATGCATGAGACCTCATTACATTTTTTATCAGCGTGAGGTCTCAAAGCTTGTTCAAGGTCACTGCTCTTTGAGGACAGAGTTCTAGTTGTCTCAGGCCTTTTTTTCAGCCATGTGTCCATGGATGGCCCAGCCTGACTCCCCACTCCTGGAGGAAGCTGGTACCTTGCTTCACTCTATTCTAGTAGCATCACCTACTCTCCCGCCTCTGACCCTCTTGCCGCTCACTGGAGCCCAAGTCCTGCTCCCCTGAGAATTCTGACTGATTCTGGCCAGAGGCTCACACTACCACTGAATCAGTTGTCTGAGGCTGTGGCCAAGAGAGAGAGAGACCACGTGAGAAGCTGACCAACCTCAGAAATAAGCAGATATGACAGTGGCCGAGATCAAGGGACAGACAGAGGAAGCCTCTGGCGCTGCCACTCTTCTGGGGTCACAGAGGGCTCCACTCTAGCTCCTAGGGAGACTTTCTCACCATTCATCTAGGGCTGGGCCACGGAAAATTCCAGAAAGGGACCGGGCTGGATATTGAGTCCAGAGGAAGCCTGCCATTCTGCACCCAAAGTTCACATCCCTCTTCTGGCCTGTGGCTTTCAAAGCCCAATGTGAACGTTGCGGAGGCTGTAGCCTGTTCATTTTCTTCAAAAGACACTAGGTGGATCATTATTTAAAACTATATGGAATGGACCGTGATCACTGTAGTATGAAATGTGGAACACCCTGGGTTTTAGCACGGGAAGCAGACCTTAGCTGGGGTCTCTGTAGCTGGGGTGTGGTCCCTTTGTAGGTGGGAAGCTCAGGCTCCAGCCTCGGTGCCGCATCCGTGGGCAGGTGCTGCACGCCCCAATCCTAGCACATCTGTTGGATCTAGATTCAAGAATTCTGAAGGAGGCATGGGGCTCTCTCCGGGCTTCGTCATATAGCCCTGGCTGCCCCCTACATTTCCCAAGCGCCTGTCTAGGTGGCTAGGGAAGCCAGCGAGCTGTCAGTGTCCGGACTCCTGGAAGCCTCTAGGGTCATCTGTTGAATTTCAGCCTGTCTCTCACTCTGAAGCCAGCTGGGTTCCCTTCCCGGTGCGCGAGGTTAGGGAACAGTGCCCCTCGGGCAGCCGACCGACTGTGTGGTCTTCTCTGATAACTCTGTGAGCTCAGGGCCTCCCCGCTTCCTTTTTAGATGCAGGACAGGAAGTGGGTCTTGCTGATGGGCATTTGTCGGGGTAGGACTGGTGTGTTGGTGTCTACGGAGGCTCGTGGGGCCCTGGGTGTGGGGGGAGGGGAGGAGGTGGGCTCAGCTGGGACGGGGGGGGGGGGAGTGGATGGGCTCCCCTGACTGAGACTTCAGGAAAGGAAGATCCTGGGGGCGGAGGGGGGTGTCCTGAGGTGGCTGGGGACTATTTGTTCAGAAGTTCCTTAATCTCTGTCCCCACAGAGATGACCCAAATGACAACCCTGATAAAAAGAAAAGTGTTGAGATGGTTTGGCAGGTGCTTGCAGCCAAACCTGACAGCCCGAGTTCCTTTTCTCCTTAGAGTCATGTGTTGGGAGGAAAGGAATGATTTCCAGAAGCTGTCCTCTGTCCCCCATATGCACCGCATGGCACGTTTTCCTGGTTGGGCTGACTGGAGCTGAGATCCTTGATTGCCATTTGACTGTGTAGGACGATGTCATCCTGTCCATCCATGCAGGCTCCCCTTTATCTTCTGTGTATGTGGGAAGCAGCTTGTTATGTGACTTGATCCAACCCTTATATCAGAAGATAAGGATGGGCTAAGGTAGGGTGGGGCGGTGTGTGAACAAAGTGTCCCTGTTAGAAGCCACCTCCCATGTCCCGCCCTCTGTCCTCTCCTACAGTTCACAGCCCAAGCCAGGGGCATCGGGGCATCTGTGGGCACCTGTGGCTGTGTGACCCGCCAGGGGGCTTCAGGTGAGCAGAAGAGGGAGGGACACAACAGAGCCCAGCTGCAGACACCAAAGAGATGGAGTCGTGGTGCTGGCTCAGTTTCTCCCTCCCCAAAACACCCAAGGAGGAGGCTGTGCCCCGAGTGCCCGGTGAGACATTTCCTTCAGCTCCAGGCAGAGCATAGGGGCTTCTAGCATGTTGGAGAAGCCAGTTTCCCAGAGTGCGGAAGTGGAAGGCAATGCTCCCAGGCTCTCTCTGAGCACCTGTGTTATCCTAAGAGTGACACTGTGCTCTTTCCTCAGTGACCCATTTAGTCCGCAGCGACACCCAGGAACATAGGTGGTAGGATTACTATACTCATTTTACAGACACCAGAACTGGGCCACGGTACACAGGGCAACGTGACTGATGCCAGCCAGGCTGGGAGCATGTGTGATCAGAAACCTAGAGCTGTGCTGTTGACTGGAAGGCTAAAGGGGGCAGGGTGGGCGGGGGTAGGGATTCTAGCTCTTGCTGGACCTGGGGTGCTGGGTATAACTTATGGGGGGCTTCATCTTTTAGACTTGTTTTGTCTTATGTGAGGATGTGGGGCCAGGATGTGGCTCAGTGTCAGAGTGCATGCCTGGAGGATGAGAGGCCCTTAGTTTGGTTCCCAGTACCACATGCACACACCCAAGATAGGTGAAGGCCAGAAGATGGCTCATTGGTCAAGTGTTTGCCACGTAAGCCTGAATTGGATCTCCAGTGCCCACAGGAGAACAGGATGGTGTTGTGGGAGCTTGCCATCCCGGTGCCCGGGCTGGGCAGATGGGAGGGTCTCTGAGGCTTGCTGGACATGCAGACTAGTGTAATCAATGAGCCAGGGCCTGGACACTGCTGGGTCTTTCTGAGTGCTGCTTGGCTGTCTGTGTCTGGCTGTCTCTGATTGCACAGGGGATGAGGCTCCACCCTTACCGGGACGAGGAGACTCGATCCCAATTTGCAGATGCAGCAAGCAGCTCTGGGACGTGAAGTGATCTTGAAACCCAATCCAAGCCCCAGAGCCTGGCCATGGCTTTTTTTTTTTTTTAATCAGTCTCCTCAGCTGTCAGTCATCCACGTGGTACCTGTCAGTCTCCTCAGCTGTCAGTCATGTGGTGTCTGCTGCTCCCTCATGGCTCTGAAGTGATCTAGGCACAGAAGAGAAACATGGAGTGGCCTCTGGTTACTTATGGGAGCTCCAGTTGGGGGTGAGGCTGACATGAGTGAGTTGGAACAGAATTCTAGCAGGTTCTTCTACAGCAGCTTACAGGGGTGCTGTGCTGGCTGTGGTAGTGGGCAGTGTAGCAGGAGCTGGGTGTCGGTCTCTGCCCTTTCCTCTGTTTTCCCCATGTGGAGTCCCCAGGGAGCCTGTGGAAAAGGTGCCTGTGGTTATGTAGTTCTTCAAAAGAGAGTGGCCACTGGCTGGGGAGATGGCTCGATGGAAAGAACGCATTTGTTTTGCAGACACAAGGACTTGAGTTCAAATCCCTAGCAGCCGTATAAAAAGCTGGGGATATCTGTGCATGCCTGTAGCCTCAGGGCTGGGGAGCAGAGACAGAGACAGAGGGATCCTGAGAGCTTGCTGACCAGCCAGCCCAGCCAAATCTCTGAGCTTCCAATTCCGTGACAGACTGTCTCAAGGTAGCAAGGTAGAGAGTAATAGCGGAAGACAACTGAAGCTATCTATGTATGGCCTTTGCATGCACACACGTGGAGTGTACACCCATGTACTCAGGTGCATGCAGCACACACACACACAATTGCACACACACATTTGCATACATATACACAATGCACTCTCGAATAAACACATGCATGCATAATACACAAGCACACACACATCATTGCACATACACATTTGCACACACATACACACATGCACTCATGCACAGACACATGCATGTACACATACACACACAAGCACACACACACAAGTACACACACACACACACACACACACACACACACACACACACACACGGATGGTGACCCTATCTGCAAATCCAGCTCCCTGTCCCCATGTTGCCTTTGTGAACCTCTTGGGTTTAGTGGGTGTGGGGCTGAGGCCTGGGCTGAACAGGCATCATTTTCTAATGGTGCCATGAATGAGGCTCCAAGCTGACTTGGGTGGTGCCAGCTCTGTCAACAACTCTTATTAACCGGACAGTGGGAGTTGGGTGTGTCAGTGGGAGTGATGGCTTCTTGGGGTTCTGGGATAATCGTGGATGTATGGATGTCACAAATGCTCTCTTTGAGTCCCTGGCAGATCCTAGCAGCCTCATGTCTGTGCACTGGCTCAGGCAGGATTGCTCTCTCTTCTCTATAACTGAAGAAATCAGTTGAGCTTAGAGGGACTTCCCCGTGGAGTACCTTATCTGGAACAGCACGCTGGGCCAGAGCCTCACCCCAGCTGGTGAGCACCCTGTCCACGCCACACCCCAGCCCAGTAGCTGTCGCTGGCCGTGTTTACAGGTGAGGATGCAGGAGCTCTCAGGGGTCTGTGCTCTCTGCTGATGCTGGCCTCCTTGGGGTGACAGTGGTACTGTCTTCATAGGGTCCCTGCAGAACTTAAATGATGATATGACACAGTACCAGAGCATGTAGAATGCTCCCCACCCAACACTGGGACACACGAGACTCAGAGGTGACACAGATGTGAGCCCTGTACTAAGGTTGTGCTCTGAGGTACACTTGTCCCAAAATGATGTTGCGACCCCGCTGTCCCCATCCCAGGCTCCCTTAGATAAGAACCCTACCTCAGGATGTCAGCGGACATGCAGCCTCAACTTGAGGGTGCTGACTTTGGAGCCTTGGCTCTAGGTTCCCGTGCCCACTGTGTAGGGTAGGAAAGGATTGTGAACATATACACATGGGCATAAACAGCACAGAAATGGTATGTTTTGTTTGTAAACACACATGTGCATACATGTACCTGTACCCACATAAATAAGTGTGTACACATATGAATGTTTTCTTTGTAACCATGTCCATATATGTGCACACACATGTTCCTTACCCCCTGCTTTGTTGGTGTAGAGCTTGAACCCAGGGGCTCCTGTGTGGTTAGCGGGTACAAACATCGCTAGGCTCGGTCCCTAGCCCTCATTCTTTCTTGTTGTACATAGGAGGACAAGAAGGGCTGCAGGGCACCCATCCTAACTGGAGGGGCTGCTGATGTCCCTGTCCCAGAATCCCTGTGTTTGCGCTTAGTGCCTGGCTGTCTGCTTGACCTCAGCTTCCTCGGGGTATTTGATAATACTGTGGGGAGGAGATGATCGTGGATCAATAAGGCTGGGCATTTCTCAGAGACCTCCCCCCTGTGTAGATGGGTAGAAGCCCCTGTGTAGATGGGTAGAAGCCCCTGTGTAGATGGGTATGTCTAGGTAGGACCTGAAGGCACAGAGAGGTTAGGAAACGTGCTAAGGTCATACAGGAAGTGGGTGAGCCACAAGCCGAACCCTGGGTGGTCTAGCTCAGAAGCCAGGAGCCAGCTTTCTTAGACCACAGAGAAGAAATAGAAATCTGTAAAGCCCCAGAGAGAATTTCCCAGGGCTTCAGTATTTGAAAAGTTCAGTAAAGAAGCTAGCCCACTCCAATCATACTTGGTCCTTGGCAGGATGTTGGGATGGAGGCTGCTGACCCCCGATTCCTGCTTCCTTCTCTGACTGTATCGGGTGATCTGCCAGAGGCTGCTCCCAAGTGTAGGTGTATGTCTTAGGTTTATACTGCTGTGATGAAGCACCAGCCCAAACCAGCTTGGTGTGTGTGTGTGGGGATTATCTCATTTCACAGATTGTAGTCTGTCATTTATGGGACTCAGGGCAGAGACCTGGCGGCAGGCTCTGAGGAGACACCGCGAAGCCTCTCTGCTGACTGCCTTGCTCCACTGTTTTCTTATAGAACTCAGGACCACCTGTACAGTGGTGGCTCCGCCCACAGTGAGCTGGTCCCTCCCACATCCAACATTAATCAAGAAAATTCCCCACAGACAAACATGGCCAGGGGCTAATCTGATGGAGGCATTTTCTCAAGAGTGCCTTTTCCGGGGTACATCTAGGTTTGCATCAAATTGACAAACACCAGCCAGCGTAGTGGGACAATACGGAACCTCGAGGCAATGCAGGCTCCTGGGTGTGGGTGGCAGGGTTGCTCCTGGCATGTCTAGGTCTGGGAACAGAACATGGGGACTCTGCACAGCCAGTGCTTGGCTCTGAAATTCCCACCTTCCTCTGGTATGGTGTCCCAATTTCAAATGGTTATCACAGACCTGTGCCTTAACACGTGTGGGGTTGCCAATGATGACAGCCCACTGTGGTATGGTGAGGAGAATCAGGCCTCTTGTGGCCTCAGTTTCCCCAACAGCTAGTTAGAGAGAATGAATCTAGAGTCACATGGGGCTCACTAAGCACAGGCCACTCTGGTTTCTATGCAAAAGCATCACATGACCATGGTGATAATCTCAGTACTGAGGGTTCAGCACAAGGCAGCTTCCCCTGCAACTTGGGTAACTGCCCTCTTCGGAGGTCTTGGCTGTGACCTTCTAGAACATTCCCTACCCTGAGGTTGAATCCATAGTCTTTACCATCATCATCAGAGGCATCATCATCAAGGTGTCTAAAGGACTCGGCAGGAAGCCCAGAAGCTTCACATTCCTCATGACTCTTCTGCTGGAGGCCCATCTTTGCACCTAATAGCCATGGTGGGGCATGCATGCCGCCGGACGAAGGCATGCACCAGGAGCATTCAGGAGAAACAGCCGCTGCCCGTTCCCAGGCCGAGCCATATCAACCAAGCCCTCCACACATGCCTGCTCCTCTCCTCTCCTTTGTCAGGAAGTGCCACAGGGACACAGAGTTACCAGAGGGTGGTGTGTGGGTGCAGTGTAGCAACTCACCATTGTGCAGGGCAAGGACTGTTTCCTTGCCAACTTCTGCTACTTATCAGTGTTGTTTCTGTCCGAGCATGTCCCCAGCCTTGTGCTAGATACTCGGTGTGCTCACAATAGGTGGGGCTCGGGCATTCCCTGAGAGCTTGGTAGAGGTGCGGGCTGCAGAGGGAGGGCCCAGGGTCCCCGAGTGCCCATGTGCATGTCAGAGCCTGAGATGTGTCCTTAAGCAGATTTTCACTTCTGATGGAAGGAGATGTCTGTCAGTGTGAAAAACAAAGAAGAAAAAATGGGGGAGGGGTGACTGTGGGCTTGTGAGGATGCTGCTTGGCAGCTTCCTGCCATGTTGACATTTAGGTAGAATTGGAGCGTGGCGAGGGACTAATTGGTGCCGTTATCTTGAAAGAAAGCACACTGTTGAAAAGAAAAGAGTCAGCCCAGAGGCCCAAAGGCCACTCCTTACTTGGTGTCCACCTCGGACAGAGATCGGAGCCTCTTCCCCGCCTCTGAGGCGGACTTAGGGTTTTGGTTCCATGTGGATTCGGCTGTGGTGTTTCAGAGATTTTCCTAAGACCCGTCCGGAAGAGTGATGTTCCCAGCAGCCTGAGAAACTCCTCAGTGTACCTGCGCCTCTGGGTTCACAGTTGCACGGCTTGTGCCTCGTCATTTGGGAGTCTGGCCTATTTGTGAACGTTAAGACGGTGCTCTGGCTGGTGCTTGCTGCACTCATGGAGAAAGGCATTTTGGCTGGCACAAAGGTGGAGACAGGCTAGCAGCGATTATGCTGGGCAATGACTTAAGAGGCACAAAATCGTATGTGTTCTTAATGCGCGTAGATGAGGGACCCAGCTGCTGTATAACTTCATGTCACCACCCAACCGGCAGAGAAGGAGACACGCATCCCAGTCCTTGTCTGCACCTTTCAGTGGAGTCGTTGGCTCCCTCTGTCAGCAGCCACCCTTTCCCTGTCTCCCTCTGTGTCTTTGTGTACTTCTTCTTTGCAGGCTGGCCCTCCCTTCTACCCACCTGTCACAGACAGAGCGAGGGTCCCCATTGTTTCTTTGGGGCCCTGGGGAGGTCCACTAGCCTTGGCCTCACAGAAGCACCATGCCCTGGGCTTTGGGCAGTGGCGATGCTGGCTGCCCCTCGGTGGCTTTCCTGAGCTGAAGGAAACGGAGGAAGGAAGCAGCGATGATTCACAGAGGGCACTTCGGGTCACCAGGCCGTACCCACGCTTTGCAGGGACCTTGTCTCCATGGCCAGTATGCCTCGGGCTGGCCTAAGGGTAATAGAAGTTGTGACTTCATGGAGTAAGCAGAAGTTAGTTTTCTATGATGAAGAAGACGGAAGAAAACCTTCTTTTTCACTTTCCTTTTTTAATCGAGAAGTATGCCGTGGGTGTTCCTTTGCGGCTCGCAGTCAAAGAGAGCATTGTCTTTGAGCTCCGAGTTCCCCTTGGGGCTTCGATGTTGCGTGTGGCTAACTTTAACTTTGAACTGATGCTTTTAGGGCTGGGCTCGGGTTGGGGTCCCAAGCCTGGCTCTAAACAAGGGAGCAGGCTTGTTCATTGTGTCAAGTGAGCAGCTGCCCCATCTCATCTCTCCTCCCTGCTCTGAGACGCCCTCTCCTCTCCACTCTCCTCTTTTCCTCTGTGAACGCAGGGCAGAATGAAGCTGGCCATAGTGACTGTCCGTAGGGAACAGGGTTGTGGGCTGGTGACTAGGGACCAAGAGGAAGGACAGGGGCCAGGTCAGGGATTTTCAGCAGGAATCTTGGGGAGGAAACATCACAGTCTCTTATTATGCTGACATGGTGTGCTCAACTCTGATGCAATACATGGGAGATTGAGGCAGGAGGATTGCTGTGAGTCTGAGGCTCATCTGGACTACATAGTAATAGTGTATTTCAGAAAACCAAAGCAAAGCGAAGTCTGAGTGTTCTCAGAGCAACTCTCCCATGCGCGCACACCATCTTGGCTGCGGCCTTCTTCTCCATTGCGTTTTCTCTTTGGATCCATTTTTCTGTGGGTTTGTCAGGTTTCTTGTTGAGGGCTGGATTGCCCTGCCTTGGACCCTAGGAAGTGCTGTGTAGGATGCTGTGTCTTGGGAAGCGTAGCAGTCAAGGAGGAAGTTGATACGACTTGTTAGGGACCTGGTTGTGGATCTTGGCATTCCCTGTGGGAGCTGGGCTGGAATGATGCTTCTCAGTGGGAGACCCTTCACCTTTAACTGTAGCCAAGCTGCAGAGGACCGTGATGCTACTCTCCTTCCACTCCATGGTCTTCCCATCCCAGGTCAGGCTGGGGCAGCAACAATTATTTAGTCAGAGGAGCATTTACCAGTGACCAGCTGCGTGCAGGAGCTTGCGGGCCACTTGAGGAAGAAATGGGGTGAGTGAGGTCACATGGGTAGTTTAGTGAAAAAGTTGGCAGCCGAGGCGGTCTTCCTGGGGGTTGATTTCCACTGCTAAGGAGGAGGAGAACCCCCACACTGGGCATGCAGAAGAAGCTGTAGCAGCATCAATGACCGGACTTGCCCTCGACAGCTGGATTGCTCATTGATCCCTTGTGTGGGGTGTCTCAGGCAGCTCCCTCAGCCTCTCTGGGCTATGGTAGAAATGTGGTATGTAGCATAGGGCTCATCCTGGGTGTGGGAGGGGAGCAGTGGCCTTGGGCTTCTTCTGTGTCAAAATGCCAGGACCTACAGCAGGACTGGTGGGGACACGGAGGGACATTGGTGGTTTGCAGGAGTTTAAATTGATGATAGTTATGGGGATGAAGATGACTGAGTTTTGGAATTCTCTCCAAGAGTCCCTGCTAGCCGTCTCCACTCCCCACAAGGCAGAGTCTGTGTTATCCTCATATACTCGCAGTCCGGTGGTATGGCTGGTGTTTGCTAGCCTTGTAAATCTGAGGACTGAGGTGTGGATCAGGCCTGACATTGCCAGCAGCCGGATGCAGTGTGCCCTGGGTCCACTCTGTACCAATCTCTCCTACGGTGGGGAGATTCCTGCAGGGGGCCTGGGGCTGAGGTCATTGCGGGTGACAGAATGATACATGAGCAGTACTGTCCTATCTCAGACACTCCGGGAGAAGCAGCCTGGACAGCCTTCTGGTTGGTGGTGGCATTGGGCCTGGAGACCACTGCTCTGCACAGCCTGGGCTGTGGCTGCCTGTGCCAGTGGGGTATCGTCACCCGATAGGGAGCTGCTGGAGTGGTGAGAGGCCTGTCACTCCAAGAGGACAAGAGAAATGCCACATTCCCCCCAGGAACTCTCAGGTCCCCATCTGCAAAGACAAAGCCATTTTTTCCCGACTCTTCCCTGTTTCATATGTCTGACATGACCGGATGCCACGGTGTCCCAAGCGGAGCAGGGGTGGCAATGCAGAGGGTGGAGAGCACTTATTGAGCACCTTTGGTATGCGAGCATTGGTTGTGCAAGCCATGTCTGCACAGGTGCACTGAATCCTGGTTACTGGGAATAGAACACTGTGCTCCTCAACTGACACGCAAGCAGCCTGAGCACCCATGTGATGGCCCAGGCCCGCAGCCCGAGCCGCTGTTTTGCAGCTGGGATATGCATGCATGTGTGGTGCGCTATGCTCCCATTGGGTTCTCTTCTAGTTTCAAGGTGACAAAGCTGGGCCCGGATGAGTTCAGGGCTTCAGGAAAATTGAGTGGGTTACCAGAGGCCCAGCAGCCCACACCCTGTGTGACCAGAGTGCTAGGCTGCAACCTCCAGCATGGGTGCTGCAATGCCATGCATGCTAGGCACTGTGGAAGGTGTGTGTGTGTGTGTGTGTGTGTGTGTGTGTGTGTGTGTGTGTGGTGGGGACATGAAAGGCGCTCCCTGGCCTTGACAGGCAGCTAGCTGACAGTGCGGATGCCACTTGGAGCCGGTTAAAAGCAAGCCTCCCAAGGAAGCAGATCGCCCTCTGGCCAGGCACTTCCTCCCTGGGTTGCGTGATTTTACTGAGTTTAAAGCTCTTCCAAGTGTCTGGCCCGGCCCTTGGGCTCTGGGTGCCTTTGAAACCCTCTGCTACCATGGTCCCTTATCTTGGCCTGTGCCTGGTTCCCGGCCGGAAAAGGGAAACACGGGTAGAGGAAGGCTCTGTGCTGGGCTTTGTGTTTGGTTCTCGTTAACAGGGTCGGCCTGGCTCTGTTGTTTGTTTCCCCGCTTTTCAACGAGAAGGGTGATGGATGACTGTGTCTCCGGCGTCTGCCACATGCCAGGGCTCACTCACGCACACTCACCCTTTCATTGGCCCCTACTCAGGGTTGTGGACTGATCCACGGGTCTGAGTCTGCACTGGTAATGAGAGGGGAATCAGAGCCAGGCCTGGCTCCTGGGGGCGGGGATTGTAAGGAGCACTGATCTGGGTGGCTCCGTAAACAGTAGCCACCTTTCTTGTTCTTTTCAGACTGGGTCTTGTGCTGTAGCTCAGGCTGAACTTGAACTTGCAGCAATCCTCCTGTCTCAGCTCTTCCAACCCAGGACTGGGATTGCAGATGTGAATGACAGTGGGAACAGGTGTTCGGAAGGTCAGCGACACCAATGTGGCAGATGGGGAGGGGGATCAGGCTACAGTAGGTCCCTCCCACACGCCGGGCCGTGTCCACTGTCTGGATACCTTCTGTGTCTCACCATCTCTGAACTACAGAGCCAGTCCCCGTCCACAGTGTAATCAGAGACGGCAGTGACAGCCATGCTCCACTTCCGCCTCCACAGGTAGGGCAGTGACTCAAGCCTCACAGAAGCAGGCAAGCTCCTCCACATCTCAGCCCTGCCCCGGCCCCCGGTGTCCACCCCACGGACACACCCTGTGGCAGAGAAGACCCCAGACAGGCAGGCAGGCAGCCAGGAGGGATACTCCATCAACTTCTGAAGAGTGTATTAACTGTTCTGTCGAGTGTATTTCCTCTTCTCGCCCCTCTTACCCCTCCTCCCAGTCCATATTGGATCATGTGCTCCCATTTTTTGCAGTCACAGCCAAGTGGCAGAGCCTTCTAGCTCCCTGCACAGGTTTGCCACGCACCCCAGTGTGAGGTGCAGGCTGGGCAGGTTTCTTAACTTTCTTGGCGACTGATGGTGGCTTCCTACCGTGTAGCCCTACAACCCGGATGCACTGAAATGAAGCACCTTCTCAGACACATGTCCAACTCAGTATTCTACAAGTTGAGTAGAGCTGATGCTAGTTAAACCGCCAGTCAACATTTTTACCCATTATAATCCATGACACCTTTATCGTTGTTTTTTTAAAGTGTGTTACTTTTTTATTTGGTGCACATGTATATATATTTGTGGGCGTGCACACATGCCTCAGCACATGTGTGGAGGTCAGAGCACAGCTTATAGAAGATGGTTTTCTCCTTTTATCATCTGGGTTCTGGGGATCAAACTTGGGTCTTCAAGCTTGGCTGCAAGCTCCTTTACCGGCTGAGCCATCTTGCTGGCCCTGGCACCTCTGTTTGTAGACACCTTTGATTTTGTGTGTGTGTGTGTGTGTGTGTGTGTGTGTGTGTGTGTGTGTTTGTTTGTTTTTGTTTTCTGAGACAGGGTTTCTCAGTGGCTTTGGAGGCTGGAATTAGTTCTTGTAGACTGGGCTGGTCTCAAACTCACAGAGATCCGCCTGCCTCTGCCTCCGAGTGCTGGGATTAAGGGCCTGGGCCACCACTGTCCAGGTGACACCTTTGATTTGTGAAATAATTTCTTTGACCAGGCCTTCAGAACGTGACGAACTGTTGCTGTTATTATGGTTAATTATAGACTCCCCTCCCCCCCCCCCGTTGTACACATTTTCCCCCAGCATGGCTCTTCTGTTGGCGAGACGCTGCTCAGCAAACATTAGTTGCCCTGAATTTTAAATCGGCACAAAGCTGCCAGGCTTGGCACTGTAGGACCAGGAAAAAGCAATTCGGAAACCAGACAGAAAGTAAGCAGGGATTTTATTTCCAGTGAGTGGCACTGTCACCCCTGCGAGGGCCAGACAGCCACCTTCTCCCACGTCGCACCCCTGTGGGAAGAGTTCTAGTAAGTAAGACAGCAGGGAGACAGGGTCAGCTCCCCCTGCGGTTCTGGGCCCAGGCTCAGGTATGATGCTGTTTATGGCAGTTTTTTAGAGGAAGCAATTTTAAAAAGCTCTTTGTGGGCTTGTGGCTCAGTTGGTAGAGAACTGGCCTAGCGAGCTCGAGGCTCCGGGTTCCATCCCCAGCAGTGTGAAAGCTAGGGATGGTGCTCCATACCCCTGTAATCATAGCGCTTGGGAGGTAGAGGCAGGAGGATCAGGGGTTCAAAGTCAGCCTCAGCTACATAGTGAGTTTGAGGCCAGCCTGGGCTACATGAGACCCTTTCTCAAAATCAAAAGCGAAATGAAATTAAAAGCCATTTGCGGAGCAGGCAGTTATGCACGGGCATTGCTGGCCTGTATAGACCCGGCATTCAGGTGTATGCTCTGTGTGCATGGGAAGTCTTTAAGCACAAGCTCCCCTCAGCATGGAGGACATGTTGCCATGGTGATAGAGGGCTTAGGTTTAGCTGCATCAACCAGAAGCCACAAATAACAGCTGGCTCAATGCCCAAGAAGACATAGCAAGCCTAGAGCTGGGTAGTCCAAAGTACTATGAAGTTGTCAGGAACCCTGTTCTACCAATGGTTGCCTCACAGGACCAAAACAACTGCTGCGGCTGTAGCCATCACAATCGTATTCCAAGTAATGGAAGGGAGATAGACAAAGAGTTCTACTCCCAAGTTTGGCCTGCTTCCTTTGACAAGTCATCCGTGCATGTCTGCTAAGCAGCTTGGGCCTCCTTCATCTACAAAGAAAGCTGAGCAGTGTAGGTTCGTAGCTTGGCTCTGGACACCTGGGTTATGCAGAATGCTATTGTCAGGAGGGAGGAAGAACAAGCGATAAGAGACAGGAGATGACCAGCACAGTGGGTGATCTTAATGGTACAGGTGCCAATGCCTCTGTTAGACTGAAGTATTATTGTTTTTCCACCGTTCAGAGTCTAGAGAGGGCCTTGTTAAGCATGCAGGATAGGCTCGGGGAAAGACCCTGGTGATGGATGGCCCCTGGCCATCATGGTATGGGCACGGTAATCAAGGAAGTATCAGAGCTGAGCCCTGGCCTCCTCCTCTGTACAGCCCACAGGGGAAGGGCTCTTTTCCCTCTGCACTTTGCAGGTGGAGTGGAAGCTGGGGAACCACAGGATAAAGATTTGAGGCTCTTGAGGTTGGTGGCCCAAGAGCCCGGGAGGTGCCTGGGTTGCTTTTCAGATTTTCATATGATGAAGGGAAGTGCACATTGTTTGTAGCATTTTAGAAAACATGAGGTGTCGATTTTTCTCGTGGTCCTTTGGAGAATCTCTGCCAGGGATGTGTTCACTTAGGGAGATGATGACGAGAAATCAGGCTGGGGTTGGCCCAGACAGTAGGCACCGTGAATGCAATGACCCTGAGGCAGGGGACAAGGATGTTTTAGAAATAGCTAGGAGATGCACAAAGCTGCCTTTGGGAGGAACAGAGAAGGAGCAGTGGTAGGCAGATCTGGAGAGAGGTGACGCCAGCAGGGCTTTGCTGGGCATGGGATTCGAACTGGATTCTCTGTTCTCAAGACAGCCATTGGCCAGTTTTAAGTAGGGAATCACACAATCTCATTTGCTTTAAGAAGATCCCTCTGGAGGCTGTGGAGACTCTCTTGAGGATGGAGGCATGGGAGGAGGCAGAGATATTCTCAGTGGGACCAGTGCAGCAGGGCCCAGGAGTGCGGGTGGGTGGCCAAGTCAGGGAGAAGGTAGGCAGTATAGCGTAAGGGCTCTGTCGGTGGGCTATGGCTGTGGCTCCAGCAGTGTCCTGTCCTCCCCCACACATTAGCTCTCACTAGGATGGCTTTGTCCCCCTAAGGACATTTGGCAGCATCTGGAGATATTTTGTTTGTCATAGCTGGGGAAGACTTATTGGCACCTCAAGTGTCAAGAACTTGGACCTGTGCCCCACAACAGAGGGTGGTTGGTCCCCAGTGATGAGGTGGCGGAGTCTTTCCAGGCCCTAAAT